CCCCCCCCCCCCCCACCCGGCAAAAAATTTCCCTAACGCCTATGCTTATGGTTGATTACAACAGAACGCTGTTACTATAGACACAATGCCATTTCCATAGATTCTGTTGTGTAACAAAAGGGGACTTGGAATTTTGTAACAGAAATTTACTAGTGTGTCTACACGAAGATACAAGTTCGTGGAGCTTGTTAAGTGTTGGCAGATGCGGCTTGCAGATAATAAAATACTTCTCCCGCAGACATAAATTACACCGTTTGGAAGGGGGGTTGTATGCGATAGACTGCTTTAAAATCTTCTAAGTGATCTAGAAGTTAGAGTTGTTGTCTTTAAGGTTTCATACATATGCTTACTCAGCTAGGGTTAGGGTTAGGGTTGTTAAATGATGCTTTATGGTTCGCGAAGTTAGTCTTGAAAGTGTTTTCAGTTAGTCCGACGTATGTTTCATCAGGTTTGCTGTCTTCTGTAGTTACGGTCGCTTGAGATACATTGGATTTCTTGAGTGAATTGCCAGCCACGGAAACCATCCAACTGCTCCAATCAATTTTTCTACAGATCAGCTTCTGTATCATTAGGTTGACTCATTTTTATTATTTTCACTACGTTTACTTTCTGACTTGTCTCGAATAGCGGTTTTTGTTAATTTGCAGTGCAATTGTAAGGAATTGTTCTTACGTTTTTGTAAAATAGGTGTGAATAAAGTTTTTTTTGTTTGTATGTTTTTTTTAATTTTCACGGTTCGAATCTCACAGACGTCCGTAATGTCACAGTAAAACCATAGTAGTCTAAACAATCTAAATAAATAAATAATAAAATAAATAAATAAATAAGTATGGCTGAGTGAAACCAGCATCTACCAGAGGTCACTGAAGCGACACCCAACTTGACACATGATGCAGAGACGCCATCTGTGATGGTTCATTTTGTATTTTTTGGTATTTTTTGCAGCATTTAGTAAATTTTCAAAAACTGCTTACCTCTGTTGATCCGGCGAAAATGTTTCTTTTAAATCTTCAGTCATTTTAATTTTAGTTCACGTGCTTTAGCATTAAAAATACTTTAGTTTTTTTTGGTTTGTCGTTTTCCTGTAGTCACTTGAATTCTCAAGTGAGAGGAATCTAGAGGATTAGTTATATCATTTTACCTTGAACAGCACAAGGAGGAGCAAACAACACAACTGCCAGGAAAATCAATATATGCATCTCAGCTCGAAGAAAAACCTGGAAATGAGATAAGACAGAGAAATTATTTGGTAAGAGATGGACATTCACTTCTATCTAAGTATGTTGGGTTCATATTATTTATCTCTCTTTCACTATAGCGCGTGTCAAAGAGTTTAAACCGGTTTTTTGTAATTTTACCATCACCAACATCGATAAAACTTCATTTTTTAGGTCAATGGTTAGGTCCTATTTTGGGCTTTCTTTTGTTTAGATTCAGTTTGATAATGTGGAGGTGATTGCTATCCTTTCATCAGTGTCCTACAAACATCATTAGATGATTCAAACGGATAGAATCGTGTATTCTAGAAAGGAAAACAGTATAAAAAGCGTTTCGCCTGCATATGCAGGAAATTGAACATTGTCAAGTAATCGGTCCCCGACATTGAGGTTTTGTACTAAGTCGCCAGAGGGGGTTGGAGGGGGGTCATTATATATGACATAGAAGATAGAAGGTCGGACCAGGAACTGATCCATTTGGGAGAATATAAATCAAAATCAAATTTTTGGATGTTGAAGTTCTCTCTCATATAATTATTGGTATGACAAAAAACAATTAAACGCGTGTAAACAAGGTTTCTTGGTGTTTGACGTGTACAGAAAGGGTATCCGGTCCGGAGCTGTCCCGAGCCACAGGGAACACCCAAGTCCTATCACCAGCGGGTAGGGATGAATATTTTCGAGTACTAACGCTTCCCTCTGAGAAAGCCGTAGAAGTATAATACCCTTCTCTTCGCCCTTACAACAGAAAGAGAGTCGCTAGAGACTGCTCCAGCACCACTCGCCAAACTGGATAGTCTCACGTGGGCCCACTCTTGCTTCCCTCTGAGAAAGCCGTAGAAGTATAATACCCTTCTCTTCGCCCTTACAACAGAAAGAGAGTCGCTAGAGACTGCTCCAGCACCACTCGCCCAACTGGATAGTCTCACGTGGGCCCACTCTTCCCATGGGCCGGCCACATGTTAACCCAAGGAACTATAATATAGATAGAAGTATCTTTCAAGTTACGTAACCTGTGAACTATGGTGGCTCCAATGGCGTATACGAGACGCAAATGTTTCTTGTAGAACGAATTGGGTTAAATTATTCACGCAGTACAACGTTATGCTGTAAAAGGGAATGTAGGTGGACTGGCCTTTCTGAGTCTGTTTTATTGGAGTTCATACAGATTTTGAGTTCACACGGATACTGTAAAAGAGAATTCAGGTGGATTGGCTTTGCCGAGACTGTTGTATTGGAGTTTATACAGATTGTTGTCATATGATGTGAACTAAATTTCTAAGGAAACTAAGTAGGGCATTTGCATCTTTCACAAATTTAATTTGACACAAATGTCGATTTATGAACTTTCATAGAGGGGACAAAACCAAATTATTATTATTATCATTATTATTATTATTATTATTATTATTATTATTATTATTATTATTATTATTATTATTATTTTAAATTTGTACCGCGCCGTTTTTATGAAAACATTCAACTGCGCTTTACATAAGAAATTAATTAAAGATGGAATTCTTAATTAAAAGCCTTATTTAATAAGAGGGTTTTAAGTCTATTTTTAAACAGGTTTAGACTGGAAATAGACTGCATCGTAAATGAAGAAGGTTCCAAAGTCTGGAGGGGGAACACCTAAACGACCAATCCCCTAAGGTGATCTTAGTTCTGACTTTTGGTGATACTAATAAAATAGCAGAGTCATGATTGCGCCTTAAATCCTACTTAGACGAAGGCAGGACATATTAACTGGCGCAAATAATCAGGTGCCTTATCGACGTGTAAAACTTTTAATGTAAGTAGTAATCAGTTTATTCAATACGGTAGCAAACAGGTAACCAATGTAGCTCACGAAGCAGAGGCGTGATATGGCACGATTTGGGGCGCAATTAATTAAGCGAGCACTAGCATTTAGAACACGCTGCGACTTAGATAGCTGATATTTTGGCAAACCACACAATAGATTATCACAGTAGTCTACTCTAATAGTAACAAATGCTATTTGTTTAGGTCTCTTGTCGCTGTATCAATAGTGAAAAAATAGAAATAGGGAGTTTAAACTTCGGTAAAAAAAAGCTTATATATTTGAACTCACACCCACTGACCTCGGTCGTCTTGCTGATGCGGCGTCCTCACACACAGTTGACTGCTTTTTTCCTTTCGCTTTTGTTTTATGAGCTCGCAGCTTGCGTTGCAAACGATAACCAGCCCTGAGAATTTAAAGACAATTTAACCTACGAAAAACGCTTTGTGATTAATGTAACCAACGGGAACATAAATTCTTGCTTTGAATTGTAAAATATAACTATTTTCAACTTTTTGTCTAGGAAAATAAGTTGTAGTCACATAATTTGAACTAAATATGAAAGGAAACTAAGTAGAGTATTTGCATCTGTCACATATTTAATTTGACGCAAATGTGGCTTTTATGAACTTCCGTAGAGGGATGAGATCCAAATGCTATTTAACCTACGAAAAACGCTTTGTGATTAATGTAGACAACAAAAACATTAATTCTGGCTTTCAATGGTAAAATACGACCATTTTCAACTTTTGGCCTAGAAAATAAGTTGTAGACACAAATTTGAACTTACTACAAAGGAAACTAAGTAGAGCATTTGCATCTTTCACAAATTTAATGTAGCGCAAATAAGACTATTTTCAACTTTTTGTCTAGAAAATAAGTTGTAGTCACAAAATTTGAACTAACTTTCAAAGGAAACTAAGTAGCGCATTTGCATCTTTCACATATTTAACTTAACGCAAATATGGTCGCTTTTATAAGCTTCCATAGAGGAAACAAAACCAAATGCCGCTTTTTAGGCCTCATTTGGTTGTCGCTGTGTAAATAGAAGTAAGAAGTTTAAATTTCAGTTAAAAAACATATACTTGAACTCATACCCACTGACCTCGATCGTTTTACTTATGTAGCGTCCTCACACACCGTTGACTGCTTTTTTCCTTTTGCTTTTGTTTTCTAAATTTGTTGCTTGCGTTGCAAACGATAACCAGCGCTATGAATCTAAAGATAATTTAACCTACATTTATCCGCTTTGTGATTAATGTAAACAACAGGGACATAAACAGTCATGACGCAAAAATTGTTAATCGTACTTCCATCCAATAGCATCTTCTCCGAAACTAGCTTCATCGTGGTAGAGAAGTAATTTAAATACATAATTTTTTCCATAACTGGCGCAATTGTCAATCATTGTTCGTTTTCTTTAAAAGTCAAAATAAGGTCACTGCGCTCCCCTCAATTACCTAAACCAATGAAATATTTCCTCCTCGTTTATATAGTCTTTTACCAGGCGGGCAGGTGGTGTGTCAAGACATTTTGTATAGGTTTAAACGGCTACGACGTTTTTATTCCCCTTTCCTCTTAGAACTTTTTTTTTTAAGAAACAAATACATTTATAATTTTTGATTAAAGTTGTTAGGTTTTGCAAATATTTTTCTTTGTCGCGCACTGTTTCAGGACACTTTTTACATAAAGCATAATGGGTCCGAAATGTCACCACCACATAGAATTTTCTATTTTTTAAGACGACCATTAAGTTTCGATGACAGTCTCCTCTTTGTTTTCCCATTTTTGTCATAATAGCGAGGACAAATTGAAAAAAGGGAACAAAACATTACGTGTGTGATTGTCAGGGAAAATTGGACCACCTGCGAAAAATAGATCGCTTTTATACAAGACTTGAAACAGGGACGATAAAAAAAATTACATGAAGATAACTTGTGGAGTTCTTACATAAGGAGGTTAAAGTTTGAATTTGAACACAGTGTTTCGAGACTAAACTATTCTTTTTAATCATATTGGAACCTGGAAGAAGATTTATACCAAAATGAATGTAACTTTCACAACGGTATTTCTCTACCACAATTTAAAACTCTGGACAGTGGACACGACCTCCGTCGAACTTGCTTTAACATGACCTCTGCCAAACTCTCTTTGCAGGTAAAAACGGGCTAAACGTTAGGCTAAGACTTTTTGGCTTGTTTGAACCTGGTGTTTATATGTCGGGAAAATTCTAGGTGTTCGTGAATTTTACTGTTTCCCGATCGTCTCAAATTTTGTCCACTAACGAAAACTCGAAATCGTAGATATCTCCGATCGTCTGGGATAGTAGGAAACAAATCTTTTCCCCGACGCATCCCAGATTTCTGCGATGGTTGGCGATTATTCCCAACAAATGAGAACCAAAATTTTTACCATCGGGGACGTCGGCGATGGTTTTCACTGATAACCAATCCTTTTGTATTTGTTGTTATAAATTGCGAGCGAAGCGCCTCGTGAAGAGAGTTTATATCTTTCAAACTTAGAGTAAGTCCACCATTTACTTTTGGAAGTCAAAATAACGCTGTTTTCAGTTTCTGGGATCATAACATCACCTTAGTAACAATGAACTCCTCGGCATACAAGATTAATAACAATAGAGTACTAAAGTGTGACGTCATAAAAAATCAAATTTGTGAAATTATGGGATTTACCAGCATATTCTGAAAGGTCGTGACTGGAATGGATACTCCAAAATCAGGTATCCGCTCGGAGACTGGAACTGAATAAAATTATTTTTCGGCACATCGCTCCGACTCTTTACGACCTTGTTGTGTTGAAAGACTAAGTATACAAAGACTGAAGAAGGCTAAGATGAGAATGGTTACTCCAAAATATGGATCAAAGCCTACACAGAGGTTAGTTGTTTTTCACGTTCTTTTTGTAAGAATTTAGTGCAAGGAGCAAACAATGTCTGTTTAATTACAGTACCACTACCGCGACTGCCGTGTAAAGCTTATTCATAGCAAAGTATCTGTTTGGAAGAATAAGGTGGATACTTCAGAATAAGAATGGCCAAAATATGGAAGTTTTGGCCATCTGGATTATTATTACTGAACTTCCCAATACAAACATGATTGTTACGTTCACAAAGAGGGTACAAATACAGTTAAGGTCAGTTAACCATCTTGTAATGTTATGGGTTAGTTGATTCCAAGTGTTAACAATAGTAAAAAAAAACATAAGGGACCTGTCATTTATTAGAGGCGGGGGAGGGCTGGTGCAATTGGGGGGAGGGTCATTAAATTTTAAGTAGCCAGAAAGGGGAGGGTCACCAAAAATTTAAGCTGGGCTTTGGGGAGGGCCATACCATTTTTAGCAAACATTGCTGTTCACTTAAAATAAAAATAAATCCACAAATAAAATATATTATTTAACAAACAAGTCCCTTGGACAGTAAGCATTTTAAACTTTCATAATGATCTACCTGAACTACCCAACAACCCTACATGTACGTCTTTTTATTGATTTGTTTTTCAACGGCAACACACTGCGAAACATGTCTTTGCATTGATCAAGTTTCTCATTAAGATATTTCAGTTCACTGTTTACTCTTTTTTTAGCTTCATCAAGCCTTGTAATAACAGCTTCATCAAACGATTTAGAATACTCTTCTCCTTGTATAAAATTACCAGTCTTTGAGTGAAACAGGGTGTTAAGGTGAGCTTTAATATTAATGCGTCTATCCATATCTAATATGTTCTCTAGTAACTCACTGAGCTTCATAATGTTCGCCCTCAGTATTAACTAATCAGCTGGGACAAGAACATAATCGGTCGTGTAAAATTTTCCAGCAGCACCAGAATTGTTCGTGCTCAATATTGGCGCCTCCCTTCATCGCAAGGTAAAAGTTGATCTCTTTTAATAATCCCTGTCATATCTTTTAGTGTGGGGAGTGTCATAACTATTTTGGACCATACATGGGGGAGGGTTACATTTTTTTCTGCAGGATAAAGAATTGCACCAGCCCTGCCCCCACCCTCTAATAAATGACAGGTCCCTAATTTACTTCACGTCATACTTCTTGTAGCTTGGTGATCACTATTACAAGCTCAAGTTTCTAAAAAAAAATTGGTCCTGCAGATTGTATTAGTGTAGTGTCTCTGTATAGCTCTGATATAGGACCTGGAGCCTACAGTGGCAGATCGGAACCTTCAGATAAGAAGAGGGGTGGGGCAGGGGGGGGGGAGGATTCTCACCAGACCTTAAGGTGGCGGGAAGGAACCACTCATTCAGACCTTAAGGTACGGAGGAGCTCAATCTAGAAAAGAATTTTCTTGGCATTGTTGTCCTCAATTTGAACTAGAAATATGGAGGGCCGGGGACCTCCCTAGATCTACTGCTGGCCTCTGCCAGCCCGCCCATGTTCACTTGCTATCTTTTTACATTTAATAGAAACTCTAGTATCAATTCAAATTATTTATCCTAAATATTAGGATTTTTGCAAAATTATTTATAGTTGCTTTTTGCACTTGTATTTTGTTTTGTTTTTTTTTCAAATCCTAGGAGCCTCATTGTCACCGAAACTCTCTGCCTTCCATACCCTATTCCACACTGAACTGTCTGACAACAGTCCTCAGCCAAGTGGTACCATCATGGTGTTGAAAAGTGTAGAAATAGATCCTGTTGATCCTGGGATGAATTCTTTTTCTTTTTCTTCCCCCTTCCTCCACTCAAGGGGGGGGAGGGGGGGGAAGGTGTTTTCCTTCCCCTCCCTGTGACTTATTACCTATTTCCTTGATTGTCTTCTGAGCTCCTGATGAGACAAGATCTTCTGCATTAAGCAGGTTATGGGCTATTTTTTGTTTTTCACTCAGTATGGTGAGCTTATCATAAATTTAAAATGGAATAGAAATGATCATGCAGGTATATCCATGTTGCAGCTGTAATAGGAGAAGAAGTTGGAGGTCCGGAGGGTGTTGCAGTCAAATGCTTGTGAGGAACAGAGAAATCAGTTGGAGAAAGAAATGAAGAAATGAAGAAAATTGGAGAAGGCTTTAAGAGAAATAGCAAATAAAATGAAAAAAAAAAAGAAAAAAAAGAAAAAAGAAAACAGGAAAAAAAAAAAAATTTTCATTGAGGCCAAGCAGTTGGCTGCTCAGTTGCGTGTCTGGGTAGCTTGACCATTTGGTTAATAAAATTCTCAAAACCACAAACAAACCACTCTAAGAATTTGATAAAATGTGCAAAAAAAATTGTTTATTACTTTTATAAAAATAAAGTTGTTTGTTTACAATTCTACAACTATTTTTTCATTTCTTCCTTTTCCCATAATTCTTTCCTTTGTTTTACTTTCCTCTTACTCTTTCTCCACTTCCACAATGTGCTTTTATGTACCCTCTATACCTGGGGTGGAAAGTCACCTGAAAATTTGAAATTAGCCATGCATTAAATAAAGCTTCCATTATAATCATTCTTTCAGGAAATAAAGCTGCTACTTTGGCGGTAATTCTAAAAAGCACTGTGTTCCACGATACAGTGCCTTGATT